TAACATAACAAAATTTAAAAATTGCAAATTAAAATACAGTATATATTTTTTTAATTGTTAGATGATATCAGAAGCAAAGATAAAGACGTGTATCTTATTTTTCATTAACGATAAGCAACTCAAATTTCACGAAATCAATACGTTCATTATAAGATACTTATGGTCTTGTTAGCATTTAGCCGTTATAATATGTATATATTTATTCAATATATTACAGTGATTTTATTCAAAGTGAAGAAACTCGATTTGATCTTATATAAGAATAAATTTTAAACATAATCTTAATATTACTAACGTTAAAAAAATTTTTAAATGAATTTTATAAAATTATTGTTTGAAAATTATATAAGTAATCAGTAAGTTTACCTCACTGTCCTGCTATTTCAAGGTAAACATAGTAATTCCAGACACCTGCCAGACGGATTTTATACATAATGTTACTAAAGGAATACTATAGGTATTTGCTATCACGAAACTTACAGAGTGGAACAGGTTAATGACTTTCCCTATTTTTCTACTTCATTTTTTTTATCCTTCCCAAGGCCGATATAGCAATAAGGGGAGGGAACTGCTCTTGTTTCCTTATAAATGTTTTATCAGCTGATATACTAAACATACCCATTTCCTATATACTGTAATGTTGGCTATTTTAACTAATAATCATATTGTAAAATTTCAGATTTCAACATTCCACAAATCATACTTTATATTTAGAAAATGATAAGGAATAGCTACATCATCATTTAATAAACAACCCGTTTGAAGAAAATGAAAAATTGAAGAGATTTAATTTTAAATTCTAACTCAAATTTGATTTCTAAACTGAAGAATATTCGGTTATTAATTTGGAATATGTCTAAGAAAAGAAAGCAGGTGAGATTTTTAAGTACAATTCGGCAAGGAAATTTCTTCCTTCAATTTTCAAATCGAAGGGGGAGAGAAACAGTTATTATGAGTAGAGAAAGTATAATTGATTAAAAGAAAAAGTAGCGAAAGTGGAGCGAAACGGGGGGGCTTGCAGAAGAGAAAGAAGGCGGGTGCCAGTGGGTCGCCAGGCTGCTAGGTCAACGTTCCTTGATGACTGGCAAATGTCGGAAGTCCCGTCATTTCCGGCAGTCCCGCACTTTAATTTCCCCGCGGGGAACTACTAACCAGGTTAAGCAGTAAAAACCCAAGAACAGGGAATCCGACAAAGTTAAAAAGAAGAACGTCTTTGTTTAGCATAAATGTACTCTCAATTAATATTTTACAGCATATGAATTCCAATAGAACCACTAAAGAACCATTTCAGAATCTAACATTTCTTACAAGAATATTGTAAAATTGGTTTGTGATCATTTCCTCGCATCAATCGTATCTCTTTGTTTGATTGAAAAAGATACATTTTCAAATTTTTAAATGATGATATTCAGTTAATACGCTGGAAGATAGATGAAGTGAATATGTCCAAAGGCTACTCCCGTGGATAGACCAGAGGTTAGGTAAGCTAAATTAGTTGAACACGAACACGAACGGTTCTGGTCCATCCACCCAACAACCTTGACCTCAATTCTTTAGTCGGAGTGCTATGTAGACAGTTTTCATAGAAATTCAACATGTGGAAAATAAAGTTCCAAGTCGATGTCGATGTTTCCTAGAGTACAGTTATGTAATTATTTTCATATTTAATAATTGTTACATAATAATGCATAGGGCTATAATTTATCGATTGATTCTGTTAATACGAAAGTAAAAATAATTTATTTGCATACTAAAAACGAGGTCAGTAATCGTTGGGGTGCCGATTTGGGAATATATGATCTTGGCATACTGACATAGTAATCTGATTTCAAAATTTTTTGATAAGAAGGCTTTATGAAAAGTTTGCAAAATTTCGAATCTTCCACCTAGGGGATGATTAAAGTTTTCATTTCTGTTTAACATTATATGCAAATATTCTATTTTCATATTATAATTTAAAACGTTCTTCGGCATTTCCACGCTTAAAAAGCCTGTTTTAGTCATAAAAAGTCCTTATTAACTAGTATCAATCTTAAAAGTTTCAATAAAGAAGATACATTTTAAATCTAGTTATATATATATATATATA